AACTTCTAAACATCACTATCACCTGCCTTTTAAATGTCTGGAATTATGTCTAGACCTTTCAATAAATCATCGTGAAGGGAATAAATATAATACTAATAATAGTAGGTACAGAAACTTACAAATCCAATTAAAAATAGAAGCGAATCCAGGAATATAACCTATTCACTTAATTCTTTTCACACGCATAGTCAATTAACCAACAAACTCCTCAAAAAACAATGAAGAAAGTCATAGGAAAATAAATAAGACGATAAAAACAAAGGATACAGTTGGGATTGCTTACCTCAACGATAGCGGCCGCATATGAAAAATCGATCTCATCAACCGGGCATGTGAAATCTCGGAGCCCCAAGATCGAGTCTTTAGCCGAATTCCGCAAGGGGCACATTGGGGGAGACGGCGTTGCGAGGCTTTCAACGCAATTCAGGATCCCAATTATCGCCATCAGAGCGAATCCAGCTCCCGGACTCCTCAAACTCGCCATTCCAGGAACAAAGCGAAATTAATTGACAAGTAACGCCCGCGGACAGAATATGAACGAACAAATCGGAACTTAAACCAAAGCAGAACAGAGGAAGGGGGTCGGCGTGGCTGCGACGGGGGTTTCTGTGTGAAGGGATGTGACAGAGAGAGCCCAGCGCATAGAAGCGTTGAGGCTCAGATTTTGCTGGGATAGATTATGAGTTTCTCTATATCGGTATGACGCTTGGTAGGAGAAAGTTGAAGGTGCGACTGTGGGTGACTGAAAGGGATAATAATTTCCCATATATGTTGAGGCGTGAATAATAGAGAAGGAAACGCTGCTCACATGTACGGAGTATATGACAGAAAATAAAATAAAAACAATTTGAATATCTTAAACATTCAAGAGAGGTTACTACTCTCACAAAAAATAATATATATGCCACACTTTATATAAAATGTTACGGATATTTTAACACATGATCATATGTTTTTCATAAATATAGAAAACGGCACAATTTTTTAGACAAATATTTGAATAAAGTAATTTGGGTAAAAATAGCGGAAAGAGTAAGTTTCGAAAAAATGAACATACAAAGTGAAAGAAATTAAAGTGAGATAAGTTAAGATGGGGAGAAATTGTGAATCCCAAGAGGTTGAAAAAAGTGGGGGGTTTGAAAGAAATTGGAAGGGAAAATCCTAATTTGACTTGCCAAATTGAAGCTATAATGGATAGTTGTTTGGTTGAAATACAAATGCATTTAACATATTTAATTAGGGAAAAGAGACAAATAAGACCTTGAACTGATAAAAAAAGTGCAAATCACTCCTTATATAGGAGCTTCTATCTAGTCGTCGTCATTTGGGGAGGTTCCCGGTGTAATTTTTCGATGACGTTTTTGAGCATCTTCTTTATTAAGTCTAGTTTACTCATACCAAATTTCAGATAAAAGTTCAATCGGGAAGGCAGTCAAATGAATTTGTGAAGATAACTGCGTAGTTGAACATCGCAGTATATTTCAGAAAATCATTTGATTGCTTTCCCGGTTTTATTTTTAGCTGAAATTTGGTATGGGTAAACTAGACTTAATAAAGAAGATGCTAAAAAATATTCATAAAAAAATGCGACCAGTAACCGCCCCAAATGGCGACAGCCGGACAGAACCTCCTATATAAGGGGTGATTTGCACTTTTTTGGTTAGTTCGAGGGCTTATTTGTCTCTTTTCCCTATTTAATTATGCAAATTATGAATGTTCACTTCAAACAAATGTAGAGCCCGTTTGGTCATCTCTTTTTTTTGGCTTATTGGGCTTATCAGACAGCTTTTTCACCAAACACGTAATTTTGATTTTGCGCGTTGAATTGTGTCATAAGCAGAAAAAGTGAGGTTGGAGTTACTTTTCTGGCTGTATTGGCTGAAGTTACTGTAGAGGATCATTTTAGCTATTTTTCGTATAATTTTTTATTTTATTTATTAATAACAAATATTTTAAATGTATTTTTTCATGAATTAGCAGAATCAGCCAATGCAGCCAACTTTATAGTCTTATTTGTAACATATGGATGGAACATGGAATATTCGAAAGTTGATAAATGAGAGCAGCATTAGGATCTCCCTTTGTTTGAGAAGTCAGATGTCTATGGATGTGTTTGATAAAATTTTTGAACAAAACAAGATTTGGTCAAATTCTCCCGGCTGATTTCTTACTTTCAAGATTTTTTACTAATACAATAGGGGAAGGAATGATTAAAAGGGTCATTTCAAAAGTTGGTAAAAATAGTTTAGAAGATTTTTTGCACGCTCTTGATAATGGAAGATGGGTCTATATTTTCTCTTTGATGTTGCAATAAATCACCTAGAAGGAAAATACTTGGGCCGGTCCACTAAGGAACAGTACTTTTACTCGATTTTAAAATGACTCTACATATTTATTAATTTAAATGAAATACAAAGTGTTTTGGAAATGTCAATAAGAAATTTGATCAAATTTTATGGGATAAATGGAATACTTATTTATCTATTTATAATATATTTTAAAATGCAAGCAAAATTAAAATATTAATCATACTTAATTGGGGGTTTTCAAAAATATTACCAAAATAAAACATATTACAAAAATATGACTAATAGTTACTACAATATGATGTCATGTTAACTTAAGTATAAAAATAAAACATAAGTTATTATGATTTCAAAACTATTCAAGTCATTAATCACATTTTTGTCAACAATCGTTATTAAAAATATTGCCCGAATATTACATTACAAGTTTCTGTTTCTAATAATATAACTAATCTCAGATTTTCCAAAAAGGTAATCCTTCCGTTGTCCCTTCATTTTCTCACCCGCAGGCCGCACCAGACCTCCATCTCCCTCCATCTCCAGGGCGCTTCTTCTTCCTCTCATGCACACCAGGGCTCAAGGCCATACTAGCGATTTCAAAGCCCATGGCAATGCCATCGTCGCCATCGTCTCCTCTACCTCTCCTCCGCCACTCTGTTCCGAAGTTTTAATTTCATGCGCGATGAAGAAGGCGAATCTACACATCCCAGGTCTTTTCGTCTTTCTTCTCGCTGGTGGTTCTAGACGTCGGTGGAGACGGTTCGGATCTGTCGGATCCACCGTCCTCGAAGTCAGAGAGGGGTCTGAACAGACGGGCTGCCTCTTCCTTCGCTGCTTCGCCGCCTCTGGTTGGCCGACGCTTTGTGGTTTCATATCTGGGCGGTGGGCGGCTATGGGGGTGGGCTGGCCTGCTAGAGAAGTGTCTATGAGGATGTCCGCTGGGGCTGGGGGCTGTGGAAAGGCGGCTAAGTGTGGCAGGGGGCTGGGGTGACAGGGGAGGGGCTGCGGTGATGCAAGGGAGGGGCTGGGTGAGGCAATGGCTTGGGTATGGTGGTTGCAGTCGTTGGCCGGAGTTGGTGGCTGCCGGAGGCGGTGGCGGTGGCTGCCGGAGCTGATGGCAGGCGGAGGTAATTTGCCGGTGTCACTGTGGCGGTAGCTAGGTGGTCAATATTGCCGGAGTCATTGCGACCTAAGTCACTACGACCGAAGTCACTGTGACCAGAGTCACTGTGTCCGGAGTCACTGTGGCGGCATGCGGCGGAATCACTGTGGCGGCGGGTGGCGGAGTCACTGTGGCGGCGGGCAGCGGAGTCACTGTGGCGACGGGGCAGTCACTGTAGTCGGTGGGGTGACTTTGGTCGGAGTCACTTTACACTACAGGGTTAATTGTGATGTGGGTCACATTTTTGGAATTTTTAAAATCAGATCACTTTTTTTATCTTTTATCCTACTTTTAGTAATATTAGAATAAAAATGTCATCTTTATTTTAGTCATAAATATGTACTACCTCAGTCCCCCTAAGTTTGGGACAAAAGAAGGTGGCACGGTTATTAATAAAAGTGGGTTTATGTGGTTGATATTGAATTGATAAAGTAAGAATAAAGTAGGAATGATTTAGAACCACACAAACTTTACCAAATAAGGTATGAGACAATCTTAGTGGGACGGACCAAAATGGTAAAATGGGACAATCATAGCAGGACGGAGAGAGTAATTATTTCTACTTAGAGCCCGTTTGGTAGCACCAAAATCGGCTGTTTTGGCTGATTCTGCTGAAATTTATGAAGTTCTGGCTGAAGTGGCTGTTTTGGCTGATTCTGCAGATTCAAGAAAAAAATATTTAAAAAATATATTTTATTAATAAAATGAAGAAAAATTTATATGTAAAAATAGCTAAAGTGGTCATCTACAGTAATTTCAGCCAATACAGCCAGAAAAGTAACTCCAACCTTACTTTTTCTGCTTATTACACAATCGAGCGCGCGAAAATAAAAATTACGTGTTTGGTGAAAAAGTTGGCTGATAAGCCTGATAAGCCGAAAAAGGAGGTCTCCAGACGGGCTCTTAATTTTCTTAGAATTGAAGGATACAAAATCAAACAAATAAAATCATTGACTAGCATATCTTTTGCATTCCTAAGCATTACTAATAAATGTCTTACATGAATGATTTTGGAATAACGAACAACGCATTATAATATTACGTATATGGTATATCTTAAAATATTGGTATATTGAGTTTTTTTGAAGAGTAAATTATGTTTAGTTTACTATTTTTTGAATCATCCTCCAAGATCCAAAACAATTCAAATCAACCACCCGTTTATACGATACATTTTGATTGTTAGTGTTTCTTTCCCCTCCAATGAAATGTTGGCTTTGCCCCTGACCGTTGTGGACCTATTATTCCAGGTATGGACCGCATCGGACCAAAACCGAAAACCTCAAAAATGGGACCTTAGACATGACTAATACGTAATCAGGTTGAGATCTGATTTCCCGTTCTTGATCACAATGTGTTTCATCCAAAAATATATGTATGAGTGTATCACAAAGTTTTCCATTTCTCCAACTTGAGGAACAACTAAAATGAGTTTCACAAATTCGAAAATAATGGAAACATATTTCTCCTTTTCTAATTCTTAAAACCAATAAAGTAAACACGTATTCCAGTTTTCAAAGAAAGAGAGAGAATTTTGGTGTTAGTAACCCAGCCGGCCAGCCCTCATGGTTTCATTTGTCTATTATAGATTTCCTTTTTATGAAAATTGAGGAATTCGTGATACAAAGTTACAAACAAGAGTGCCAAGGCAAACGCGTAAATTTTAAAAGCAGACCGAAAACGGACAAAAGGCCTGAGTTGCAAGGCTTGAAAATACATCACCAACGATTTAACTGTCTGCAACACGTGAGATCTAGCTCGAAAAAAACATGCAAGCGAAGTGGAAGTCAATAAATGATTAAAAACAAATCTAGAGTTGAGCCCTTCTGAACTCCACAGCTTGCTAAATCCTTCCCATTTGGAAGTCTCTTCCCCTCCAACTCAAGCTGTTTGGTAGCACCTGATTTTACCATCTCGGAACCGATAATTTCTTTCAGACGTTTAACAGAGTCCCCTAAGCAGACTTCAATAGGTGTACTTTTGCCACGCCACTTTATGAATATCTGAGTCATCTGACGAACCTCCTCAATTGGTGGAGGCGGGGGAGGCGGTGGTGCCATCTCTAACATGGAGTGAATTGAAATGCTGTGATGTGAAAGTGTCCAACTGTCCACAAGAATCTCCCCCTCACAAGTGAGATCCCCCACTGGGTAGCCAACTATGCTTTCAAGCAAAACCTTCACATCAAGTATGGTGTACCCCATATTCACTTCCACATCCAAAACTTCTCCGTCTAACAGTTTCACTAAAATCAGAAACATACCCTGGGGAATGAAAACCACATGAAGCGTTGACCCCTCTCTGATCTCAAGAAACGCCAACGTCTTGTCTTCTTCTAGCAGCTTTCCTGCATGAACCAAAGAGTGGCTACAGGAAGGGATGTTTTCTCTGGCCTCAATTAAAGCCTTGATATTCTGGACCGTATTTTCACTTCTCGCCTGAACTAATACGGTGTCATGCCTTTGTGGTATTTTGATCGTTAAATTCAGCGGCGCTGCATCACTCACATATGCATTGAGAGTGGAGTTAGTAGAGATGCTGTAATCAACCATCTTGGTGTCATTCTCAAGGTGATTGCCATTGTAAAACAGCTCCTGCATGCATTCTGGTATCCTTTCCTTCTTAGATAGTAAGGCTTTGACCCCTCCAACAGTCATACGTTTATTCACCTTGAAGCTGACTGTTTTTATGATTCTCAAGCTTACATCCATCTGTTAAAAACAAAAGTCAAATGCACTTTAATTCCAGTGTAATAAATACTGTATATGATGTTGTAAAACCACACTCTTTGGAATTTAGTTCCCCTTCCATTTTGACATTCAGGTACATTAAAAACTTGAAAAGTATGTGGTTGAGTTGTGTACAAGAAGGAAGTTACATTAAACCATATGTAATATACATACATGATTCCAAAAGGTGCTAAAATTAAAGGCGGGGTCTAAACTCGTTTATGAGTGAGGCAGCAAGAAAATGCCACGCATAGTAGATCACTAGATCAATGTGTCAAATAATGGATAGTTATTCTTATGCCATAATACCCGTACTCCATAAGGGGGTCACATGAGTTGCTTTGAGAAAATGGACAGTACTCACCTTATATATAGACAGGTAAGACAGCTAACAGCATACCCTGAATTAGTCAAGTAAAAAGACAGTGGCAAAATTCTGGACTAACAAAAAACAAATATTGGCAACAATTAATCATTTCCCCCATAAGAATTTGAGCTTGCATTACAAAGTTAAGCTCTAAATATGTGTTTTACTTGATGGGACTTGCAAAATCTAACAAATTATGTCTTATACTTGTACGGAGTATTTGTTTTTTTACATGTTCTACCATTCATTTGATCAGTTTTGAAATTTAACAATATTCACTACTTCAAATTTGTATATATCTAATCATATTTTAATTTGGGTTTTACTCACTGATTAGTTTAACTATAATGATTAATTATAAACCACACAGATTAATAATATTAACCAAAATCTTCGGGAAAATAAAAAAAATGGATGAAATACTAATAATATTCCGCTGGAAGACTGGTCCCAGTGAAAACACAAACTTTTTGTTACAAAATGATTAATCAAAAATAAATATGGACTTGTGTAACGAAAATAAGGTTTCAGAAAGAGGCAGACTTCTGATTTTAGCAACATGGAACTTTAGTAATTGATCATCAAAAACAGGTTGGAGCTGAAAACATTGGATTAGTAATCTGTAATCTGTGTATGTAGTTGCTAACCTCTTCGTCTTCTTCCCCATTGCGTTGAGGGTTAGGATTAGGTCGGGTTGACATGGGGAGACCGATCCAGGGAGGTTGAAGTAACAGAGTGAAAACTTGAAGGGACTGAATGGCCGGACAATACACAGAACTTTTTTGGGAGCGAAGAAGCTACTTCGGGCTGGAATATATGGGGCGTTTGGAAGTGATTCTGCTTCTGCTAGGTGATTATTATATAGATAGTATTTACGTTTGACTAGGTGATTATTATATATTTACGTTTCCTTCTAAATAAATTTCATTTACGAAAGGATGTTGTAATACTATTACCTAATGTTTTTGCTTATAAAAGATACGAGTATTTGTATTTGTGTGTGTGTTTTGGAAAGGCAAATTTATCGGGATATGACTAAAACTCAATAAGTTTCTCAATTTATGACCTAACTAGTTTTTATACATTTGTATGACCAAAAATCTAAAAACAAATAGAAAATTCGTTTATATTTAAATGTTGAATGACAAAAATATCCTTATTTAAAATATGTGCATTTTGCACTAATTTCTTCCAATTAAAATTACTGCACTTTATATTGCCGTTAATGCACAAAATTAATGCATGACTTTACTGCACATCCGGTAATAATCACTGCACTTCCGCCAAAATTAATTCTCTTCTCATTCACTTGATGAATTTATTTTTTTATTTTTTGTTTTTTTAGATTGAATAATTTTATTATTTTATGCCTAATTAATTATATTGCATTTCATGATGATATTAGTGCTTTGTGTTACTACAATCATGGTCGTAATCACTCCACAACTTTTTTAATGCATTCATTCACTGTCATGTAAAACATGTCTATTACCATATATAGTCACTGCCCACACAACACTTATTGAAATCTTCACTATCGATGTTCAATGCTCATATTTAATGCCCACAAACCATAATCAATACCCATAAGCCTAATTTCACAAATACAAAAATAAGAACTAAAAAGTTTAAAGAAATTAAATGGTAGCACTACCGATTAACAAAAACCCATGTGATGTCATGGTCCTAAAGAGAAATCGTGTAATATCCTACGCCACATAAAAGAGAATCTCGCAGGGCCTTCGTTTCAGATTAAACAGAGGAGAGGACGAATACATTTTCGTCCACATGTTAGAGTTTACCCAGACGAGCCTTCCTCTTCGGTAATCGGTAGAGTCATTGATGGTCCATCCCTGAAGGCAGCGGCGAGCATGGCTCCGGACGGCGGCGACACACAGATCCAGGGACGGCCCGGACGGCAGCGTGGCGCTGATGTTGATCTAGGCAGTGGCTGCTGCGAGCAAGGCTGGGGCTAGGTTGGCCTGGGACTGCGAGCAAGCGATTGTTCTCCTAGATGGCAGCGAAGCGTGGAGCGGCGGCGGTAGGGGGCGGGCGACGGGTGGCTGGTGACAGCAGACGGTGTGCAACGGGGCGCAGGAGCATGGTAGATCTGTGGAGGCGGAAGACTGAATGCTAGGGTTGGAAAAAAATAGGAACTTAGGGTTTTATAGATATAATCTAAAGGGTATATTTGTGAATCAAAATTATTTATATATTTATTTATTACGAATTTTAATTGAATATAATCAATTTTAGTATTAGTTTGGTAAAAAAACTAGTGAGGTCATAGATTGAGAAAGTGAAGAAGTCTTAGTCATACCTAGGATAATTATCTCTTTTGGAAACAAGTTAATCGAGTTTTAAATTGGTTACGTTAATTTCCCAAATGAGAGATGCAACCCGAAGTGATTTTTTTCCAATACCCGACCCTACCCGACCCGTTCATGCATGGGTTACCAACTTATTTTGTGTATCGCGGGTAGGCCCAAAAAATATAGCTAACCCGACCCGATCCGCCCGATGTGCAGCCCTAGCCAAAAGCTTGCTAATGTCGTGTGTGTAAAATACATGGAGACATTTTTATAGACATTTTTTATCAGTATTACTAAAAGAAATATAAAAGATACACATATGATTTGTTTTAAAATTTTCCTAATCATTCATTTTAACTGTGCAATTAGATGCGCAATTATCTTCAAAAATAAATTTGAATGCATTCCCGGTTGAAGTTTTAGTTGAAATTTGATATGAGTGAACTACCCCAAATCGTGACGGCTGGATAGAGCCTCCTATATAAGGACTTATTTGACCTTTTTATGAAAGTTCGAGGACCTATTTGACAGTTTTTCCCAGCAAAAAAATTATACCAAAAAGTAGCTAAAATGATCATCTACAATAACTCCAGTTAATTATGTCAAAAAAGTAACTCCAAACTTTCTTATTTTGATATTATACAATCCAGCGCACGATATACAAAAAAACATATTAAAATTCATATTTTTATGATCTTTGAAAAAACACAAATATTGCATTTACAATGTACTACGTAACTAAATTGACTATGAGTATCCTTTTATAGTCACTTTGATATAATTTTAAACACAACTATAGTAACTAAAAATTAATAAGTCATATTTGTATCCATTATTCTTATTTTAGTTATATATTAGAAATTATTTATTGATTTATTATGGAATAATTGATATCGTGGTTGGAAAATAGGAAATTCTAGTAAATCTTCATTTTTTTTTAAATTTATATATACAATATTGGTGTTATATGAAAGACCCTAAAAATGATGAATTTTGATATAAGTTTTTTGAAATTTAGAGTAGAAATGAAAAAGTTATATAATTTTTTTTGTTAAATCTCTCCTCACTTCCTCTGCCTACCTGTTGATACTAACGTATTTATCATTTTGTAAATAAAATGTTGAATTTGACACATGACATTTTTATTGAAAATGAGGTAGAGGTGGATTCATACGATTCATTAAGGCCAGGTATAATTTTCTTTTAATGAGCTATCTCTTTTCTTATATATAAAATAGATAGATATTAATGGTCAACTGAATCTTATTTATAACAATAATTGAAGACTAAAAATATTAATGACTTGTTTTTTTGAAAGGAAACTTATATCATTATTTTACTCAAACTCTCAGTATATATGAAGCTGAGAGATGATACGATCGGGCGGAATACAAACCACCTAAAAACCATCCGACATAGAAAGAGCAACGCTAGGTAACTTATGAGCTAATACATTCGCGGATTTTCTACCATGAGTGACTTCTATCCTATTTTCATTACGAAGACTTGTTATTCAACACAACTTAATTTGTTCAAGGTATGTAAAAATTCAATAGCTCATGTCAATTAAAAATAAGACCACAAATAAATTATTTATATAAAATTGACAATGTGAAAACATTTAGGAGCTAATAATTTGATAATTTGTTTCCCAATCAAACTATGTTTATTTCGATTTTAGGGAGGCGTTTACCATTTATTTGTCTCTCACTATACTCCTGTTACTTATTAATTTGTTTTAAAGTATGCTTTACTTTAATTAGGATGTTTTTACTTAGACAAAAATATTCTGGTCTATCTAGTATGTTTAAGTCTGATTTAATTTAGTCTTGTAGGATAGATGTTTGACCTTTGTGTACTTATTACAACTGCAGAAGTTGATTTGGTTTGATCTGTTTAAATAAAAACATCTTTATTGTGTGATGCAAATTTTCCTCCAAATTTTATGAATAGCCATACTAAAATGCAATATGAACCCATATTAATAGGAACTTGCAACTAACCGAACTCATTTTCTTTAAATTTACATAGGATCAGCCGATCAGGTGTCCCGGACCATTCAAAAAACAAAATAGTTCAGAGTTCATAGACCCGACCAACCCGAACTCATGCTAATCCTCACTTGCAAATAACTAAACCCAGTTTCTTTGAATTTACATCAAAAAATCTATTTGTACACATTTTTCATAACACACCTACACACTCATGTTTGTGAAGAGTATTTTTTTGTTTGTATACAGACATAACGTATTTGAAAATGTGTTATGTCTATATACAGACAAAAAAATACTCTTCACAAACATGAGTGTGTAGGTGTGTGTATGAAAAATGTGTACCTCAAGCTGGATTGAATTTACATAGGGTCGTGTGTCTGAAACCCAAAACGATCCCCGCCCTACCTGAACGGCTGAACCCCACTGATGCTCCCCTATTTGCAGTGGCGGAGCCAGAAATACGGTCCAGGGGGGTCGAGAATCAACTTTATACATAATGAAAACGGTGGATCGTTTCCAAACAATGTCCGAGTTGAATATTTTATATGTAGTTTAGATAAATAGGCACTCGTAACAATAAAAGAGACAGTTTTTGCTCTATTTTTGAGTCATGTCACGTAAGTAATGAGTTAATTATACGCTGTTTTTAAAATTTGGGGAAAAAAATCAATATTACTCATCAAATTTTGCTGATTTTACGTTTAGATAGTGATGATTTTGCAGAAGTCATAACTTTTTACTCGTAATGAGTTACGGGGGCCATAATATATCAAATCGAAGATATTTCAGAGCTCTATGCTCTCAAACTTTCCGCGGGGTCGACTGACCCCCCTGACCCCCCTTGGTTCCGCCCCTGCCTATTTGTATTGTGGGGTATTCAAATCATGTTTATAGCACGAAGACCGACATGACCAAGTTAATCTTATCTTTTTGCGTTAAATGGTTAGCAATTTATGCAAGGAAGTGATAGACTCAACATTTGATTATTGGGCTTATGCTTTAACTATTAGTGTTTTGAATCTATTGTATTGAATATATTGTAAACATGTTTTATTTAATAATTTCAGCAGAATTAAGGAAAGAATCCGATTTTAACATATCCAAACGGGCTCTGAATTTGTCATTTCTCCTGAAGAACATTATTATTAACAATATAAAGGGAGAAGACTACCGGATATCGTTGACGCAAATTATATCGTACCGCTATATTTCCCTGTATTCTAACAAACCTTCAAAGGTTTAAAATCCCTTCTATAGTTCTATATCTAAATTTTTTTCCAAATGCCTCGATTTAAACCATTGACGTCGACGCCAATCGCTAGAGCGATTTTGCTTTCATTCTTTTCAAAACTTCCCGTAATGAGTCACAAGCTCTCAAGTCTCGAAGTGAGACTTGATAAATTGTATAGCGGTACGATATAATTTGGTCTCTAACGGGGCATAATAAACTGACAATAATATAATGAGTGACATAATAAATTGTATTGAGGAGAGAAAAATAAACAAAATCATAAATTAATTAACTAACTATAATTATCTAGGACATCATCATCATTAACTAACTATAATTATCTAGGACATGACTAATCAACTTACGTCATCACTAAGGTGAAAAACTATTAGTCAAAATTTGAGTCCGGGGGAGACATGTCAGTTGTGGGTAGCTTACTCCTTACCTATTAACCAAATTGACAAATGTATATTAGAGTCCTTACGAACACCATAGCTTGCCAAATCCTTTTCATCCTCAAGCATCTTTCCCTCGAACATAAGCCTTTGCGCATGAACCGGTGTTCCTGTCCTGGAACCAATCATTTCCTTCAGATGCAAGACCGAGTCCCCTAAGCGGACTTCAAAAGCTGTACTTTTGCCACCACTCTTTATGAATATCTGGCAAACCTCCGCACTTGGTGGAGCTATCTCTAAAATGGAATCACTTGAAATTCTGTGTTGTGAAAGTGTCATACTGTCCAGAAGACTCTTCCCATCGCAAGTGAGAACCCCCACTGGCGATCCAGCTATGCTTTGAAGCAACTCCTTTACATCAAGTATGGTGTACCTCATATTCACTTGCATTTTCACAACTTCTCCGTTTAACAGCTTCACTGAAATCTGAAACATACCCTGGGGAATGAAAACCACATGAAGCGTTGCCCCCCCACGGATCTCAAGAAACGCCAACGTTTTGTCTTCTTCAAGCAGGTTTCCCGCATGAACCAAAGAGTGGCAAGAGGAAGGGATATTTTCCCTGGCCTCAATTAAAGCCTTGATATTCTGAACTGTGTCTTGACTTCTTGCCTGAACCAATACAGTTTTACGTATGCGTGGTATATTGATAGTTAAGTTCAGGGGTAATGTGTTACTAACATATGCATTGAGAGTGGAGTTAGTAGAGATGCCATGATCCACCATCTTGCTGTCATTCTTAAGGTGATTGCCGTTGTAAAACAATTCCTGCATGCATTCTGGTATTCCTTCTTTCTCACACACTAAGGCTTTGACAACTCCAACGGTCATACATTTATTCACCTTTAAGCTGACTGTTTTTATGATTCTCAAGCTTACATCTATCTGTTAAAAACAATAGCCAAATTAAATGCTATTGCTATTTAATTTCAGTCTAATAAGTACTGTGTATATGATGTTATAAAACCATTCCCCTTTGAATTCAGTCCCTCTTCCATTATATTTTGACTTGGACGTACATTAAAAACGTGAAAAGTAAGTGTTGAGTTGTGTACAATATAATGAAGTAACATTATATTAACCATATACACTTGCATTCTTCCAAAGGTGTTAACATTAAAGTCAGTGTCTAAACTTGTTCAAGAGTGAGTGGGGCAGCAGGAAAATGCCCCACATAGCAGATAAAATGTGTAAAAGGCAATCAACTGATCAAGGCATAAGCCTAGCCAGACTGTTAAAAACATAAGACAAATAATGCACTTCAACTTCAGTATATTTAGGTAATGTATATGTTATAAAACCACACCCTTTGGAATTTAGTTCCTCTTCCATTTTGATTTACAGGTACATAAAAATTTGAAAAGTGCGTGGTTGAGTTGTGCACGATAGAAGGGAGGAAGTGCCATTAATAACCATATATGATATATAATATAACAAATGCATTCTTCCAAAAGGTGCTACAACTAAAGGCCGGGTCGAAACTAGTTTAAGAGTGAGCCAGCACAAAAATGCCCCACAAAGTAGATACATGTGTCAAAGTTGAGTAATACACCCTCCGTTCCAAATGTATGTCCTATACATTTGGGTTAACATATTAAGAAAGTGGGGTATAATGACTCGTATAACCTTAGTTTATTGCACGCTTCATTCTTTTACTTTTACTATCCATAAAAAGGAGGGGTATAAATGGTAATCTACTTTAATTTCCTTACCAAAAAAAGAAACAAGGCTATCATTTTGAGACAGCCCAAACAAAAAATATAAGAACATCGTTTTTGGGACGGAGGGAGTAATTGTTATGTCATAGTACCCCATATGACTCCATGAGGGAGTCCATGAGTCTCCTTAAAATTTTTGGATGTTACTCACCTTTTTGAAAGCTAAACAACATACTCCAAATTAGTTAAGCCAATAGACAGTGGTAAGGTTTTGGACAAACAGATTACAAACATTGGCAAAAAGTAATCATTTCCCCTTAAGAAGCTGGACTTGTATTACAAAGTCAGGCTCCAAGTATGTCTTTTACAAGATGGGACTTGCAAAATTAATAAATTCTGTCTTATACAGTTATACTTGTATTTTGTTTTATACATGTTCTACCATTCATTTGGTCAGTTTTGAAATGTAACAATACTCTCTACATCAAATTTATATACGGAGTATATATTATCATACAAGTATTTGAATTTGGGTTTTAATCTTTGACTAGTTTAACTTTAATATTTGAGCATACGAATACAATCTAATTAAAGATTAATCCTAAAAACCAAGCATTAGTAAACACAGATTAATAATATTAATCAAAATCTTCGAGAAAGTCAACCAAACGGATGAAATAATAATATTTCGATGGAAGCCAGCTCCAAGTGAAAATAAATCACAAATTTTTGCTACAAAATGATTTATGATATATGAACATATATGGACTTACATAACGAAAATAAGGTTTCAGAAAGAGGCAGGCTTCTGATTTTAGCAAGTAGCAACATGCAGCTTAAGTAATTGATCATCAAAAACAGGTTGGAGCTGAAAACATTGGATTACTAATCTGTAATCTGGGTACATAATTGCTAACCTCTTCGTCTTCTTCCCCATTGCTTTGAGGATTGGGATTAGGGCGGGTTGACATAAGGAGAGACCGACCCAGGGAGGTTGAAGTACCAGAGAGAAAAGTGTGAATGGACTGAACGGATATGGACACTATAAATTAACAGAACTTTTTTGGGTAGCGAAGAAGCCACTTCGGGCTGGATTGTATTCGCCTTAAAAGCTTGCTAATGTCGTATGAGTTTTACGAAGTTGCATAATTAATTCAAACTAAAATGATTGACGCGATCTTTCATACATCTAAGTATCTCCTTATACGTTCCTTGCATAAATGGTTTTCTCACGGATGTGGTTCATATTTTTTGTTGAATAATGAGAAATTATTCGGTTTATTCCAATAGGAGTAAAACTTTTGTAAAAATGAAAAGTACCATTTCTTATGTTTTTATTCCCAAACAAATAGGATTATATTACTCCTTTTTTATGGTATACACTTTTTTTCATTCCATTCTTACCTCTTCATTAAATCAGAATAAAAGGTAGTCAAGAGTCATAATGAAATATTATACTCCCTTCATCCCGCTAAGAAGTTCCCGATTTGACCTACACACATATTAAGGAAATAATCTTACCAAGGGGTAAATTTTAATGTTTTAACACTGTTTCGACACTGTTTGACACTGTTTTGATGTAGATAACTCTCCATTTAAGAAAAGGAGAACTTCTTTTGGGACTGCTAAAAAAATGAAGCGGGAACTTCTTAGCGAGATGGGGGGTAATTCATAATGAAATCGTAAAAAAAAAATCATAAAAAAATATATTTATAAAAAAATGGATATCTTTCTCACCGCCTTTACTGCCTTTAAGAAAATGGCATATTACTCTTTCATAATGCCAAAATTTTCATTGAAACTACCATTAATGCATGTGTCATTTTTTCTGGTGACCAGAGGTGGTGGTGCTAGGGTGACAGAGGCGGCGATGATTTTCTTTTTTATGTTTTTTATTTTTTAAATTTTTTTTTATTTAAGTTTATTTTTTAAAAAAAATTCATTTTATAAAGGAAAAATTGAAAATAATAATCCCAACTATTGCTGGTCCGCTGATAATAATCCAAACTATTGATTATTTTTGTATAATCCCAACTATATGGATCATCCGCCAATAATGGTCCATGACCAAATATTACCTCCTATAAAAAGTGAATTTTAAATAGAAATTAAGCGTAAAATTAAAAGTTGGGATTATTTATGGGGATTACTTGTTATATCTCTTCTCATCCACTTTAGAAACTACGAGAATTTATTTATAGGGACCATTATTAGCGGAAGGTCCCTAAAGTTGGGATTATTCTGAAATAATCGATTGTTGGGATTATTATGGGCGGACCATCAATAGTTGGGATTATTACTATCAAATTTTCCTTTTATAAATATTATACTGTTTTTTTTTATGATTTTTATGATTTTATTGCGAATTAAAATATTTCAATAGCTACAAGGGTATATTTGTCCAGAAAAGTTGCGAGAAAAGGTATGATAGCCTAGGAAGTCCGACAAACCCGCTAGACGTCGAGACCCCAATAAACGACGTGATTACAACACGGAAGACTATGTCGCATTGAGAAAAGAAGTCACATACCTTTTAGGAATGACTATTTGACTGAAATAATGTCAGAGCATACGAAATCCCTCCTGCGACAAGATCACAAGTCGTCATGAAATGAACAATGACCCCCGTCACCTTCGGCCCCTTGTAAGGTAATCAAATTTATTAACGGCGGATCTTATTTATGTGGACTAACCTATTCCGCAGCAAAAAGACACGATCGGGAGTATTCCTGAGACAAGTCATTGTAGGTTTATAGGGTTGAAAAGCCACATGATGACTGGAGGAATGGGCCGATCACTTTCGACGAAACGGACATACGTGACCTGACCTGGTCTCATCCTGACGCTCTGGTTATCTCCTTACGGGTGGAAAACTATGAAGTCAAACGAGTCCTTGTTGACAACGGGAGTACGACAAACATTACCACCATGGAGATGTTGAACGAGATGGGGATCAAAGAAGATGATGTTTCAAAATCAGGATCCACCCTCATCGGGTTCAAAGGAGAACGAAGTCATACTTTAGGTAACATATCCCTACTTGTTTATGTGCATGGCTTTAACGTGCAGGTTATGTATGATGTGATCCAAGACCTCCCCGCTTATAACATGATCCTGGGAACTCCATGGCTACACCAAATGGGAGCCATTCTGTTAACATATCACCAAGTTGTCAAATTCTTGACGCCTTGGGGAGTGCAAACCATCCAAGGAGACAGGGCAGCAGCCAAGTCTTGTTACCAGACTGACCTAAAGCCGACGGCGGGCCAGTCAACTTTCGCATAGCAATTAAAGGGTGACTCAGACCTGGAGGAGGAAGATGACGAGAACACAGAAGCGATCGTCGTCGACCCAGAGCATACAGAATGGGTCATCCCTACCAGGGAAAATGTGCCGACTCGTTTCAGAGGCGAACTTATTTAATCCCTCAAAGAACACAAGGATTTTTTGTTTGGAGTCACGAAGACATGACGGGATTTGACCCCAAAATTATAACCCACAGACTAAACTTCAACTCGTCATGTCAACCCGAGAACGAAACGACATCGTCAAAGAGGAAATCAATTCCAAGCTTCTTTTAGCCTTTTACTTGTTTTCTTTATTTCTTTTTCTTTACATTTTATTCAAGGACCTTTTGCTTTATTTTTTTATATTCAATTACTATGAAAATGTATAATATAAAATTTTAATACAATGTACAAGCTTGTTTTTTTTTTCCTTTTTCAATCAACCTTCTAACTTTTTTCTTCAATAATTTGTGCATTATAAGTATTTTAGTTCTTAAATATCTTTCTATTTTTTTTCTTTAATGTTATATCTTTCTATTTTTAATTTAAAGATAAATATTTATTAGTTCTTAAATATTGTGTGTTAATTACTAACATGAGTTTTGTGTTATACTAAAATAGTAAAATGAGTATAATGTATAATAAAAAGGAAAAATTGAAAATAATAATCTCAACTATTGCCGGTCCGCTAAGAATAATCTCAACTATATATTGATTTTTTTATATAATCCCAATTGTATGGATCACCCGCCAATAATGGTCCATGACCGAGTATTATCTGCTACCACATGTGAATTTAAATAGAAACTAAGTGTATTCTAGATTTAATCCGAACTATGCTCGTTCTTCTTTTAATAATCCAAACCATTAATTCAATTTGTTTTACAAAAAGTAGATATACATATTTAATTTCAAATTTTGAATTTTATAAATTAGAGTTTAAAAAAATATAAAAACGTATTGCGTTTTAGAAATAAAAATGTTACTTTTTTTTCAGGGAAAAATATATTTTTTATAATAATCGTTTTTGGATTCTTTTACAATAAAATATACTTTTTTTTACTTTTAAAAAAAATATAATATCGTTTTTGGATTCTTTTTCTTTTACTTATAAAATATCTTTTAAAAAAAATATACTTTTTTTTACTTTTAACTAATCTCAAATTATATAATATTTTAGAATGATTAGATTTTCAATTTTTTATATTTTGAAAATAAGTATCAGTATTTTTATCTTTTTCACTTTCCTAATTTTGAAAATCAAGGTTTTCATTTTTTTAATTTGAATTTGTACTTGATTTGAATTTCATTTTTCCTCTAAGGTTTTTATATTGACCTTTTCACTCTCCTTCTTTATATATTTAAAACATCTTACATGTTATGAAATTTAAATTTTGAAATTCATATAATTATATATTCTTTAATTATATATTTTATAATTATATATTTTATAATTATATAGTTTATAATTATATATTTTAATTATAGTTTTCACTTTTCATATTCTATAATTATATATTTTATATTCTTTAATTCTACAAACTACCTAAAAAAGTTAATTAAGTAAAAATAAATTTATATAATCTTTTTTACCCTTTCTATTTATTTTTGGAAATTTTTAATTTATTTTTTTGGGTCCAACAGAAGTCGACAGATGATAGTTTGGATGATTAAAATCTGATATTTTCTTTTTAATTGGTTGAACAAGTAGCCGGTCAAGTCGGACCATTATTGACGGAAGGTCCCTAAAGTTTGAAATAATCGATAGTTGGGATTATTATGAGTGAACTGCAAATAGTTGGAATTATTACTATCAATTTTTTCAAATAAATATGCACAAACGAGTATTTGAACACATTAAAGAATTCAAATGAGCTTTTGAATTTTTCAATGCTCATTTTGCAAGTTACTTATGTTCATCTCGTACAAGTTTATACTCATTTCAAAATTCATATTAATGCATATTTCAAAACTATAATATTAGATTCGCATAAGAGTTAGATTATATACATGAGTGTAGATATCATGTTACTCAATTGCATGTTTCTGATACTCAATAGAGGAAGTTTAATGTTCAATAAAATGTCTTGATACTCAACAGACAAAGCTTATAATTTTCATATCATTGCTGATTTGATAAATAATGTATGCTCATTTAATTTGGTGTTGTTATGGTCATTGTTAAAATGTAAATTATGTCAAAGCATATTTCAAACGTACTATATTACATTAGATTCACGTAGAAATTGATTATAGATATAAGAGCACAGACCATGATATTTAATGCATTTCTCCACACATTTTTCCTCATTAATATGTATTTGCCAATTCAGCAAGAAAAATAATTCTAACTTTACTCTTTTTTATTATTACACAATTCAGTGCGCAAAATTCGTGTGGAGAATAGTGAAACAATTGTTGTAAATGATTAAATGAGTTTATGATACATAAAAATGTGGTCGACCACTTTGTTCAAAAGATGTAAAATTGGGACTATCTCATACGAAAAATGAACATTTGGAAAATATTGATGTTGAAGAAAAGATCAATAATAATGAGACCCCTAAAGAAGATTCAAGTACCTTTGAAGAAGTAAAAATTCTAAACAAAGATAGAAACATTAATAAAATTGAGATTTCGATTAATCGCGTTCTAATGGAATACAATGGAACAAGAAGGATATTGATGTTAATGATATTTTCATATGCCATATCAATAGATATAATGAAAGAAAACGATAACAATGACTCAAATCTATTGATAATTGTTGCTTTAAATATGATTAGTCAAAATGAAATGAAGCAAATAGGTGGAATTATATCAACAAAAAAATACCATGTTTTTGGACCAATAGTCTAAATGCCAAAAGGCATAAAACCTACGGAGTATAAGTTTA